TACTGCTATAAAATACATTGTTGAGATCAGTAATGAAATCTGCATATGGACTGAGGGATGGATAAGAGGTTTTTTGAGTTGGGTTTTTTTGTTTTTTTTTTTTAATCAATGTTACATTTCCTGCTTTTGATAATTGGGCTATGATTATATAACAGAATGTCTTTTGTCTTAGGAAATACACATGGAAATATTTAGGAGCAAATGAGCATGATGTCTGCTTCTTATTCTCAAGAACTTGAAAAACAGAATATACATTAGATACATTGACAAAGAAAACGATGGAAGTGGGGCAAAATGATAACCATCAATGTGTCTGAGTAAAGTATACAAAGGCTTAGAGGAACGTCAAGTCCAGATACAGAAGTGAGAGGTGGCTCTGGGGTATGTACTGGGATGATTGATGAGGGAAGCCGGTAACTTCCTCGTGTCCACCCATACTGAGTTAGCAGCAGCTCTGTCCACTGGCCAAAGCGGTGCGTGAAACGGTCATGGGAAGGCAGAGAAATGCGTGGCGGGTAATGAATTCCACGAGTGGGGAGCAAAAACTCCCCGAAGGCAAACCACCAACAGAACTCCCTACTCAGGCTCAAGTGTGATCTTACCCCTTCCCCCAAATCTCTGGCGGTAGGTTGTGCAGAACAGAGGGTGAAGGAATGGTGAACACAGATTCTCAAATCTGAAGAGAGACAACCAAGAATCACCATTTATAAAAATAAATAAAGTAAAATAAGTCACCATTCATGGATGACTAAGGACATAAAAAAGAGATCTAGAAAGTCATCAGATGAAAGAGTTCAGACCAAAGGAAACAGAGGTAATGGAGCAAAAATCCCAAGACTTTGTGATAAATATAATTAAGATTTTCAGAGAGGTGAGAGAGAACTCATAGACAACGGTCAACCAGCAGTCAAAAGTCATTTCCGTTTCCCAAATGTCATTCCCATTTTTAATGATACATTTAGTTGCGGACTCTCAAATTAGCTCCTTCAACTCACGGTGTCAGAATTACTGAAGTAGAAAAGGCAAAATATTAGTTGTGAAACCGTCACAGAAATTAAATTAGTATCTTTTTTTTTCTCTCAGTCTTTTGTTGTTTCTTTTTTTTTTTAAGATTTTATATATTTGAGAGAGAAAGAGAGAGCGAGCACACAAGCAGAGGGAGGGGCAGAGGGAGAAGCAGACTCCTACCGAGCAGGAGATTTTTAGATTTTAAGTAAATTACAATTTTACATTTAGTTCTCTAATTACTTAATGTCTCTCCCTACCTTTTTTTTTTTTTTTTTTACTCTAAGAGCCCACATGAGTGATGAAAGTGGCTGGGTTTAAGAAGTAATTTTTGAGGGGCGCCTGGGTGGCTCAGTGGGTTAAAGCCTCTGCCTTCGGCTCAGGTCATGACCTCGGTCCTGGGATGGAGCCCCACATTGGGCTCTCTGCTTGGTGGGGAGCTTGCTTTCTCCTCTCCCTCTCTCTCTGCCTGACTCTCTGCCTACTTGTGATCTCTGTCAGTCAAATAAATAAATAAATATTTTTTTTTTATAAAGTAATTTTTGAGCTACAAGGGACAATATTGACTACTTGATTAGACATAAGGAATAAGAAGAGGGGAAAGGATCCAATATTCTCGGTTCTGGTGTGGGCAACTGCATTTCTCTTACAACATACTGTAGGAAGGGTAGGAACAGATTTGGGATGAGATATTATGAGTCCTGGTTCTAATGTGTGGCAATTGATGTGCTATGAGCATACACAAGGGAGAACACACTTCGAAGTTGGATTTAGAACTTGGGAGTTTGAAGAAAGGTCTGGCTAGGAGCTAAAAGATAAAGCTTTTAAATATACATACATGGTGATTACAAGACTGCCTATAAATGAGATGGCCCATGGAGAGTGTGATGAAGGGAGGAAAAATTTCTAAGTTCTTTGGCTTTTCTAATAATTAAATTGGCACAAGACAGTTAATAAGAGAAAAACAAATGTAATTCATACGTATGGGAGCTCATAGAAATACAAGACTGAAAGAAGCGACTAAAGCCAGCAATGATTTTTACCTTTTAGACAAAACGATTGACATGATCAAGTTTGAGCTTGGGGTAGTGAATTAGTGAAGAAGTGATAGGGTTTATTTATGCAACATCTGGGCCTTAAACTCCTTTTCTGGTGATAAGGGGATCTCTCTACCTCCTGGTGCAGCTGCCTTTCACAAGGGAGATTTATTTCCTGCTTTTAAGGAGAACAAGGAGGGTCAGAGAGGCCTTCTTGTACTAGCTGCTTCTTAGGTTAACTTTAATTCAAAATAAGCAGTATGCCAAAGAGGCATGTTTTGGGGGCAGCCTGCCCTGAACTCAATCATTGATTTTCAAAACTCAGCTAAAAAATGAAGCCTCACCAATATTTGAAGCGTAAGCCTTGAAAGAAATACCTCCTGGGGTGGCTGGCGGTCTCAGTCAGTAGAGGCATGGGAATCTCAATCTCAGGTTTCTGAGTTTGAGCCACGTGTTGGGCATGGAGCCTACTTTATTTTTTTTTTAATTTTATTATTATTTTTTAAAGATTTTATTTATTTATTTGACAGACAGAGATCACAAGTAGGCAGAGAGGCAGGCAGAGAGAGAGGAGGAAGCAGGCTCCCTGCCGAGCAGAGAGCCCAACACGGGGCTCGATCCCAGGACCATCATGACCTGAGCCAAAGGCACAGGCTTTAACCCACTGAGACACCCAGGCACCCCTGGAGCCTACTTTAAAAAAGAAAGAAGGAAAGGAAGGAAGGAAGGGAGGGAGGGAGGGAGGGAGGGAGGGAGGGAGGGAGGGAGGGAGGGAGACTTCCTTAGAGAAATAATTTCATGAGATAGGAGAAATGGAATCAAGTAGTGTCTTGGAAACTGTATTACTTTGTTTTTACTTAAAATCATTTCAGATAAGGAATTTCTGATTTACACCAAGATGTATTTAATTCTACAGGAAATACAGCAGTTTAAATTTTAACTGCACCTTCTTTGTTAAATAAACTTTTGAAACTTTGCTTAGAAAACAATCAGGACTTTGGCCACTAGATGGTGGTATTGTGTCATGTTTCACAGAGTGGCCCAGTTTTTTGCCCTGTTCACTCACTCACTACCTTAGAAAAAAGAAGGAATATCCATTAATATATCTACTTCATCAAGCACAGAACCGAGTAGCCTGTGCTATCTCAAACCATCTTTGTAGTAATGTAAGTCAGATGATGGCATTCCTTTGTTCAAAATCTGCCAATGTTCTCAATATACACACGCACAATTCAGTGTGCATATAAAAAAAAATCAGTACGATGTCCTTACACTGGAGTATAAGGAAGAAAAAGAAAATCCTTTATACCAAAATAAAATCTAGTTTAATATTTAAGTGAATATAGAAAGTGTAGCGAGATGGTCAGATGTTTACAACTTTTTATAATGAATAATTTTTCAATTAAAAAAATTTTAGGGGCGCCTGGGTGGCTCAGTGGGTTAAAGCCTCTGCCTTGGGCTCAGGTCATGATCTCAGGGTCCTGGGATCAAGCCCCACATCAGGCTCTCTGCTCAGCAGGGAGCCTGCTTCCTCCTCCCTCTCTCTCTGCCTGCCTCTCTGCCTACTTGTGATCTCTGTCAAATAAATAAATAAAATCTTTAAAAAAATTTTTTTAGAAGACTTTTTTATTTATTTGAGAGAAAGAGACCAAGAGCACAAGCAGGGGCAAGAGGGAGAAGCAGACTCCCTGCTGAGCAGGGAGCCCGATGCAGGGCTTGATTTGAGCCGTGGGATCATGAGCCTCCCAGACGCCCCTATAACGAATAATTTTAGAATAACAGAAGACAATAGTTTACTGAATACTGCTATCACTTCTTTTTTATATTTGGCATTCTAAAATTTGGCTAAATAATATATTCCTATACAAATACACATAGAGTCACCACACAGGCAATCGCTAACAAGTGCAGCCTGAAAAAGGTGTTTTGTACTCACAGCATGTTTACCACACAAATAACAAATGAAACAATTTTTTCTAACAAATCTTTCTTGGCAAAGTTCTGAGCAAAGTACAATTTCTTTTTCTCAATGTACATAATAATTGCATTCCTGGACAATTCAGAATTATATTAAAATTGTGCAAAAAAAAATCTTGTGTTTCTATGTAAAACCAATTTAGGTTCTAAATTCAGGAACAGGTTTTTCATCGGCAGGAATATCCCACAGGACCTAGGAAAGACATTCAGGATTTAGGATAATTCTTTATGAGGTCGCTGTCCCTGGAAAGTGAGGATATCTAGCATCCTTAGTTTCTGCTCACTAAAAGCCAGTAGCACTCCTAATACCATGACAAACCACAATCCCCACCTAAATTTTCCAAAAATGTTTTCTTGTGGGTGGGTAGTCCTTCTCTGGTCCAGGACCCACCATCATTTAATGTCATTGCAAAATCATCCACTAAGTGGCAGTATAGACCAACGTATTGAGCATTTTTGATGCCCTTACAGCTTTAAGAACTTCTTGGGGGGTCAGCGGGACCGGGATTGGAGGACAAAAGGACTTCACAATTATTTTGTAATGTTTGAAAAGATGGATCAAACACGACTAAAATATTAAAAAGGGATGTGAATGATGACACAGGAACATTTTATTTTCCCTCTACATTTATTTTTTCCTTTTTTTATTAACAAATTTTTTTTATTAACATATAATGTATTATTAGCCCCAGGGGTACAGGTCTGTGAATCGCCAGGTTTACACACTTCACAGCACTCACCATAGCACATACCTTCCCCAATGTCCATAACCCCACCTCCCTCTCCCTACCCACCCCCCCACCCCCGCAACCCTTGGTTTGTTTTGTGAGATTAAGAGTCTCTTATGGTTTGTTTCTCTCCCGATCCCATCTTGTTTCATTTATTCTTTTCCTACCCCCCAAACCCCTGACGTTGCATCTCCACTTCTTCATATCATGGAGATCATATGATAATTGTCTTTCTCCGATTGACCAATTTCGCTGAGCATAATACCCTCTAGTTCCATCCACTTCTATTTTTTCCTTCTTAAAGGATCTGTCAACAGAAATCTCTAGACAGGCTCATACTGACCCATCCATTTGCTTCTATCCACAGAAAGAGAATAAAAATCATGGCAGCTGAGGAAGAGAGACTCCCATTCATGGGAGTAGACCATGCATGGGAGTAGCAACGTAGACCTTCTGATACCATGCGAGGCACAGGGAAGAACAACACAGCGCTTGAGGGAGTGTAAGAAGACAGCACAGAGAAGGTGGGGTTTGAGTTCATCTTTAAGATCATGTGGGAGCAATACTGGTGTCCACGAAGAGTCAACACCACCACCCAGAGCTACCTGTTATTAAGCTTCAGAGCTGACAATACTCTCTCATACATTTTATTCAAGTCCGTCTTCTCACATTGCAGCTTACCCTTAACCGGTACTCCTAAAAGGGCAGTCTGCCAACGGGTGACCTTTACCTGTACTGAGATACATTGAGACATACAGACATCAGGAGAAATGTTTATAACAATCTGCCAATCTGCTATCTGTTGACCACAACAATGACAAACTGGGCTGTGTTTTGTACATTTAAAAATTCCCCCCCCAACAAAAATTCATTTCTGTAGTATTTTACCCAATATCAAGCTTGAGTGGACTGAAAGCACATACACACACGCACAAACATACCTGGTCCTCATCTCCCCAAAGTTTGAGAAGCACTGGCTCCAAGCACGGGAACAGCCAGAAGGCAGGATGAAGGTGAACAGGGCAAGCTGGAAGAAAAGGCTTACATTTAATAGTTCCCACCTGCAAGAAGTGTGCTCCTTAAATGTTATTGAATCCTCCCCCAAGCCCAATGGGATTAGTAGTATGATCTTGACTTTACAGAAGAGAGCGAAAATTAGAGATGATCATGAGCCTGCCCCCCGTGGAGCCAGGAATCAAACTGAGGTCTGTTGGAATTTTCAGCCCTTCTAAGATCTTCACGCTTGGTTTAATCACCATGTCAGTGCCCATCCCTCTTCCAGCAACACCTGCAGATCCCAGTCTATTTTGGAAGAGTTGCTCCAGGGCTGATGGACTCAGCACGGGTGACTGCATGTTCTTGGGAGTCAGACCAATCTTTCCCTAAGTTAGGAAAAAGGATCTGTCCTCTAACCCAGTCTCATATGCCAAAGAAAGTTTGAAACAATGACAGCAAACCAGTTCCCCCTTCTCACTCATGTGTACAGACACGGAAAACCCTTCTCGTTGAGCAAGAGAAGCAAATTCTGCTTTTTCTCACTGGAGCAGTATAAGGTGTTTTCCTGACTTGAATTTTTTTTTTCCCCTTACGTCAAGGTGTTTTTTACAATTATAAACTTTCATGATAAAAGTTTTTTTTACCACAGTTTTTTAATCATAAACTGTCTAACAAGAAAGTATTCCACAAAAAAATATTTCTTGGAATTTTTATTTTTCAGATGAAGTTGCCTAAATTTAAATGAAAACACAACTAGAGTGAAAGGAAGAAGAAGCAAAAGGCAATTGACAATAGTGATAATTTATAATATGTAGCCAGAGCTTTTAGGATAAAACACTGTTGAACAATGGATAATCAGAAATGTGTTATAATTTATTTTTAATTTTATAATTTTATTTATAATTTTAATTATAATTTATTCTTTTTTCATTCTGCACTTCCAGAAAGCTTAAAATCATTAAATAAAAGGGATTTAGGGGGGCCAGGCCTGTACTTCTTCTTTCTTCATTTTCAATAATTATAATAATTTAAAAAATAATAATTAAGTCAATAATTTAAATAATAATAATTAAAAAAATAATTAGAGATACTTTGAGAAAAGGTGTTTTGCCTTGCACAAAAACTCCTGGAAAATAATCTGACAAGAATTTCTTCTCCTTCCTCTCTTTCTCCCTCCTCCTCCTTCATCCTCTTCCTCTTCTTATTATTACAACAATAAAGATATTAAAGAGAACAGCTTTTGAACACATCATATGCATGATAACTTTACATAATGTTATTAAACCACACAGCTTCCCTATAAGGTAGGAATTATTATTCCTGTCAGGAGATTGAGGCCCAGAGAGGGTAAGTAACTAGCATAAAGTTGCAAACTCTTCATATTCTATGTTATAGGATTAAACCATGAGGGACAGCCAGCTGTTAAACTCATTAATTCTGGGACCTCTATTTCTGTTAAATGATTTTTATACTTCATGCAGAAGGAAGTTCTTAGAATAACATTCATTTGGAACTATATCTCACTTGCCCCACATGTTTGCCATAGGTTTATTTAAGGAGTTAAGGAAGTTAGATTATTTTTCTTGGAGAAAGCATTGCCTAATATCTATTGTTGAATTCACAAGGGAGTTGGACAATTGTTCTCTTTCTGGAGTACGGTTGAGCATAACTTAGAGAGTCTGCAAATCCAGGGGTTAAGGGCTGCCTAACTGACTTTCCAGGCGTGAAATTTAGGCAAATCTCATCACCTTTCCATGCTTAAGCTTTTCCAGTGTAAGCTGACAATAAGAATACACAGCTCTCAGGGGTTTTGTGAGGGTAAAGTGAATAAAATAAACAAAGTGCTTAGCACCATGTAAAGCACAGAATAAATGCTTGATGAATTGTAAATTTTAAGTTAGGTAGTGATCTTGTAGAATACTGGAAAAGGCTACAGTGATCTTTTTTAAAATAAATGACAAGAAGAAAACAGAATAACAAAATACAATAAACCAGAAGGATAGTGAGTATAAATACTTTTGAACAGCAGAATTGGTATAAAATACACAAAGAAGATTATTTGAAGATAATTTGCTTTTCAACAGCCCTCTCATTTTCATGTCTTTCCATATAGTATTCACTAAAAAAAAATTTACATTTACTTGTGAAGGTGCAGAGACTTACATATATGCAAAAATCATAAAAAAGCTGCATAAATTGTCAACAGACAGATATCCCTTTACTATAATGACCTCTGCCATTCGCATTACTCTGTTTTCCTGTATACCAGGCTCTCACCCTGAATGAGACAGAATAACAGACCATTCATTTGGTATTAGTCAAAGTTCCTTTCATCTTCCCCATAAGGAAGGAAAAAACCCATAATATCCCCCATTTTAAGAAGCAGTCTTTTAAGAACGCAACTCTAAAGCTGGAATGTGTGGGTTTGATTCTTCTTGCATTTATTACCTTGCGAGTCGCAAGCCACGAGCCACACTCATCTTTCATGTGGTAGATGTCAACCAGTGGTATCCAGTTATTTTTATTTTGTAAAGGAAGCAGCTGAGGATTAAGCACGTTTTGGTAAGAAATTGTAGGTGGGAGCTGGATCCCAGGTCTGATTCCCAGGCCAGCGTTCTTTATTGACTACGCTATAAGGTAAGTAAGCTTTCTTGGGTGAAGAGGACTGGGACGAGAACAAGGCCTAATTTCACAAATCCCTGCAGTGACGTGTATATCCCTATATCCTTCATTGTTCATTATTCAGCTATTTTGTTATTGTTTTTACACTGGCAATTTGGAGAATAGTATAATAAAAATACCTTCACACTGGTCTAGTACTTACTGGCCTGTCCCCAGGGTCCCACTGCATGGGCTCTGCGGGTTAACGCCTAGAGAGGTCACCTACCTAACCTCCACCAGCACACACTCCGCAGAGCCGGAGCCCCGCCCAGATGTTTATATTTTCCTCCATTGGCCCCGCCCCCGACCACGCGGGGCTCCAGCCGCCGCCCGGAGCCGGAGTTCCTGGAGCAGACTTGCCTAGCGCCTCAGCCTACCCACAGGGATTCCCTCTCCAGCCAATCGCGTCTGAGCAACGGTACTGCCCCTAACAAAGATGGCGGGAGAGGCCTCCGTGGGGGCAGGCTGATTTAACACCCAGACCCAGGGCGGCTAGGGAAGACAGCGGTAGCGGAGCGGCCCGGCCATGGAGGAGGGCGGCAGCGGCGGCAGCGGTGGCAGCGACAGCAGCACCAGCGGGAGTGGTGGGGCGCAGCAAAGGGAGCTAGAGCGCATGGCTGAGGTCCTGGTCACCGGTGAGCAGCTACGGTAAGGCGTGGGGTAGTGCGAGTGGGAGCGCTGTGGCACTGCCAGCCTGTGCCCGAAGCAGCCCCGCGCGCACATGCGCGTGGCTCGTGCCCTGCGACTTGCGCGGGGTTCCGGGACCGCTGGGGGCGCGTGGACGGTCGGCGTGGCTCCCCTGCCTAGCTGCTGCAGCCGGGCGCCCTGCGACTCGGCACGGGCGCCGGGCTTCGAGGGGGACAGGCGGGAGCCGGTGCTGCGCGCTGCGCCCCCGCCGCGCCGCTGCAGCCGCGCGCGCCGCAGACGCGCGCTCCCTCTTCCCGGGCACCTGGCTGCCAGGCGACCCCGAGTGCATCCAGAGAGTGAGAGGGTGGGTGCGCAGCCCCATGCCGCCTCCAGCCCCAGCCCCTCGACTCCTAGATGGAAGGGCAAACCCAACGATTGACTTGAGGTTTTCCTTTCCGCTGGCAAGTCCTGCTTCACTCCTCTGACCCTCGGCGTTTTCATCTGTCTGTAAAATGAGGCTGATTGCCGGGACTGCCTTGACCGCGTGTTGTGGGGGGGCTAAACCCCAGGTTCTGAAAAGCTGCCTATCGCGAAATTGGCACGGCCCCGTCAATCATCAGTCGCGTCCGCGAGGGGGCGTGGAGGCACCTTGTCCCGATGCCCCGCTGCTGTGCCAGCTTCCAGAGCGCGCATATTTGGGAGAGCAGAGTCCATGGGCTCCCGGCTGCTGCAAGAATTAGTAATTGACGGTCTCGCCGCACCCGGGACAGGCAGTGAAACCCAGATCCCGCCCCCACCGTCCCCCTTACCATTGGCATCCCATCCTGGTCCTTCTTGGAATCATGTTTGAGTAATGTGCTACCACGGTCTGACCGGTTCTGCAGCTGCCGGTCGTGGGGTCATAAATCAGTTTGCCAGGAGAAGAAGAAGAAAGAAAGAAACAAACAAACAAACAAACAAACGTGGCTCTGAAGCGTTTGAGCCACAACTCGAGTGCCCTGGCCCAGCTGGCATGAGGCGCTCGCCTGTTCCTTCTAATGCTTGGCCTGCATCTCCAGGCTCATTTTGGTTTCTAAATGCTGTGTTTCAGGACGTTTAGGAGAGAGAATCTTTGCAAAGATCCATGAAGGTTTAGTAACCACCCAGTTTGCAGCGGTTAGATTGAGGAAGTAAATATTGGAAATCAGAGTTAGTTGAGGTTAACGTTACAAAAGGCAAATTGCACACTTCAATCCCTCCATGACTTTTACGTGTAGAGTCAAAATTAAAGGGAATGAAAGCTCGTTTTTCCTTCATCAAGAGTATTTCCTAATTGAATAAAAATCAAAAGCTTTCCTGATTCAGTCTGAAACAGTCACTCTTTAATAATTTATTTGCTCCTCCTTTATCATCTTTTTCGAAGTCCATATCGGGTACTTTTCTTTTTTTTTTAAGATTTATTTATTTATTTTAAAAGGGATAAGGGAAGGAAGAGAGGGAGAGAAAGTTAAACAGACTCCTTGCTGAGACCCAATCAAGGAGGGCTTGGATCTCACCACCCAGAGAGCAGCACCTAAGCCAAGAGTCTGACAATTAACCGACTGCGCCTTCCAGGTGCCCCTCATTTCTTCTAAAATAACAAAATCGGATGGTGCCTTTCTTTGGCCAGGAAGCACTTTCTCCCTCAGGAGGCAGCTTAAATGCCCTTTCTGTGGGGATCTCCAGAGCAGTCATTACTCTCCTTTTCCCCAGCAGCCCTCTATACTAAGGTAGGACTGAGGGGGCCATGCTTAGCTAGTGGGTAAGAAGAGAGAAGGCTCTTTCCCTGGAGGCAGACCTGGGTTTGAATTTCTGCTCAGCCACTTTGTAGCCAAGTCACCATTAGGTTGTTTTCAAGACCGACTTTTAGAGTACATCTTGGTTTTACTACTTACTAGTGTGGGACCTTGAACAAGTTACTTAACTAAGATTGCTAGTCAACAGTGGAACTTAACTCAGTGTTGTTATGAGGATTAGATGAGTTAGTGCTTAGAGGAAGAGTGCCAGGTATATAAGGAAGGACCATGTCCGCGTAGCTAGCATAGCTCTGTGACGTTGGACAAGTTAACTCACTTCTCTGAGCCTTTGTTTCTTCATCTATAAAATGGAAATGCAGATAAGTACTTCATAGGGTTGTTGTGGGAATGTGCCCTTGAGCTTCTGTATTAATGAGCATTCAACAATGGTTGCTGGAATTAATCAGTATTACTGGTCTCTGTGCGTCACCACATGGGACTTCCAGCCAAGTGAGATCTGGCAGGAAGGATTGGGTGGTGGTTAGGAACACAGGGTATAGAATCAGGCTGTCTAGGTTCTTATTCTGCCTCCACATTTCATAGCTCTATCACTTTGGGGTCAATTTACTGATTCACTCTCTGGGCCTGTTTCCACATCTCTTGCAAGAATGTTGTGAGGATTAAATGAGATGTTCCATGTGAAGGCCTTAGAAAATGTTCACGCCTTAATTTTACTTTGCAAAATTGAAATCATTGCTTTTTAAAATCCCAATCATGTTAGCACTGTGTCTAGCACATAGTTATTATTCAATAAATATATGACGAGTACATGTGATTAAATATACAGATGAAATATTCAGAATTTAGGAATTTAACTGTGCCCTGGCTTCTTGGTTACTGGAAGAGCCTCTCGTGAACAGGTGGGAAGGCATCCGTCTGCGCTGTCCCTGTCACAACGTGTCCTTGCATCCTTAGCGGCTTTCCCATAGTCTGACTGGGAGGACTTTGTGATGTACAGGTCACCTGCCTCTAACTGCTTCACACACAACTCCCTTTGTCCTCTCTTGGTTTCCCACGGCTTTCTTGGTCATCAGAGATAAGGCAAATGAACGTGGTAAGGAACCAGGACACCAAGGATTGGGATTTGAAATAAAAAATTTGGCTTCCAGGTCCAACTCTGTGCGTTTTATTTATTTAATGCCATATATACATATATATATATATAATGTATATTGTGTATACAATATATACATAATATTGTATATATGTGCTATATGTAATTATATAATAACATATATATTTGTATAAATAAATGCACTTATTTAATGCTATATATTAAACACAACATTTACTAGTAATGAAACACACACGTGTATGTATGTATGTATGTACTTTTAAACATTTTTCCTTGGTCAAGTCAGCCTCTCTGGGCCTCAGTGCTCTTACCAGCAGAATGGGAATTGATAATATCCTTCCACATAAGGTTTGTGATGTTGGATCAAATGGGCTAGAATATGAGAGGGAACTCTGTAAAATAAGCCATAAACCAAGATTTAGTTATTGTTATGATTATTATAAGCTCCAGGTGTGAAATTGAGGCCTGGCTCCACAGTCCTGACACCTTGAAGGGCAGTTGGTTGCATAAGGACATGAAATTAACTAGCAAACTTAGAAACATCTCCTGCTTCCTTTTCCAGCCCGACTGTGGGTTCCTTTTCCTAATCTCATCATTCTTTCCCTTTTCATAAAAGATTTTACTTCCTTGCCCAGTGTATCTTTATGGTTTTGCATCTTAAAAAAGCATTTGGATACCACTCTATACTGACACGATGTCTGCAGTGAAAGAGATAGATCATAACCAGTGTTCACAAAGTTGTGGAGAAGTTGAAGCCTTCATACACAGCTGGTGGACGGTAAAATGATACAGTCACTTTGGAAAGCAGTCTGGCATTTACTCAGTGATAAAACATAAAGTTAACATAAGGGCCAGCGATTTTACTCCTAGGTAGTCAGAAGAAATGATAACATATGTCCACATAAAAATTTATGCACAAGTGTTCACAGCAGCATTATTCATAATAGCCAGAAACAACAGCTCAGGTGTCCATCTGCTGGTGGATGGATAAATATCCATGCAATGGATTATTATTTGGCATAAAAAGAAATACAGTAGGGAGGCATGCTACAACATGGATGAACCTTGAAAACATGCTGAGAGCAGGGATACCCGGGTGGCAGATGGTTCAGCGTCTGCCTTCAACTCAGGTCATGATCTCCAAGTCCTGGGATCAAGTCCTACGTTGGGGAGTCGGCTTCTCCCCGCCTGCTCATGCTCTCTCTCTCTCTCCCTCTCCCTGTATCTCTCTCCCTAATTCATAAATAAAATCTTAAAAAATAAATTAAAAAAAAAAGAATATATGCTGGGAGTGAAAGCAGAAACAAGAAGCCAGATATCATATGACTCCACTTTTATGACATGTCCATAATAGACAGATCTATAGAGACAGAGAGTGGTTGCCAGCAGCCGTGGGGAGGGAGAATGGAGGGTGAGTACTCATGGGTATAGAGTTTCTTTTGGGGATGATGAAAATGTTATAAAATTGTTTGTGGTTATGATTTCATAACTCTGGGGATGTACTTAAAATCATCACATTATAATCATTAAATGGATGAATTATGTGGTATGTGATTTACATCTTAACAAAAGCATTACAAAAATGGATGATTTGGATGACACATTTTATTACAGAGTGATAAAGACAAAATATTAGAAGTTTTAAAATAAACTTTTGCTTTTTTGATTGGCCAAAGAATGCAATGATATTTATCACTAACTCAGTAACACATTACTACCACACCAAATGGGACTGATATTTTACATATATATTTTTATAGTATTATTCTTGATACAGAACAGAAAAGGTGCCATGAGTAGTTGAGAAAATCTCAGAACATTCCTCATTTGAAGATAATTAACCATATATAAATAATTCATGAAGGGAATTTCATATTATGAATTTTGAAGTCATTGGTTATTTTTACATGCTCTATGCATGTCTTTTATCCTGAAATTTGCTGTGCACTTGTAAATATGACACTCTAATTAAGACACCCCAAATGCATGTCATGTTTCTTCTCTAAGATAATCCCAGAGATACTTTCCACAAAAGTGGGGTTTTTTTGTTTGTTTTAAAGATTTTATTTATTTATTTGAGGGAGAGAGAGAGTGAGAGAGAGCATGAGAGGAGAGAAGATCAGAGGGAGAAA